AAGAAGAAGAAGAAGAAGAAGAAGAAGAAGAAGAACCGAAGACGAAGACGAAGATCTTAATAGAAACATCTGACAAGGAAAATGATGATGATGATGACGTTGCTGATATAAACAATTTTACCACTAATCGTCACATAGTACGGAGTTGACTGCTAAAGAAAGACATTTCTTAAGGCCAAGAAGATGTGGTTTTACAGAAGAATACGTATAACTCTCACTGGACAGTCAAAAAGAGGAACTCGGATGTTTTGAAACAGGCGAGGGCTCGAAGAAGACTAATCACAAACATCAGAAAGAGACAGTCATCGTATTCTGATTATATTATGAAAACAATGAAACTAGGACATGTTGTGACCAGTGGAAAGATCTGTAGAAAGACAGATAGAGAAAAGCAACGGGAGAAGATTCTTTAAAGCCGTTTGTCAGAGCATGAAGGGGTGTCAACACACGAACTGCCGATCGCAGATTGTGGAGAGGTGGTTGGCAATGCACTCGATGTTAACAGAGACGCCCAAATGGCAGTAGTGTGCATACATACTTGGCTGTATAAAATGAAAAAAATAAATAAAACAATAAGATAAACTCTACTCACTCAGACATAACGCTTTGAGACTACACGCACGGGGTGTTGCACAATCCTTGACGACTCTACATGTCTTGTTTCTTGGACAACCCTGGTAGGAGACACGAATAAAGGCATTATATAACAAGTTTGCCGTCAATCTATGCTATCAATCATCAGGTCGCCAATTGGCTTGCCGGTTGTGACCTTATCACCGGTCGGGACAGTATCTAGGTCTGTTTTCTTTGATCGCAACAACAAGGTAAGAGTCCTTTTCATGGCTTTTGGTGCCGTGCAGTGCTAAGTCATTGAATAGGGCGTAAAAAACATAATCTTATATAACTCTAAGGTCCCCTTTGGGGGATGCTAGTTAAACATGACGAGTTTTTTTTTTTTTTTTAAAGCAAAGCACTGACCTACCATATATGCTAGGTCAGTCTCCTTTTTGTATTACAATTTCCATCATAATTCGCAATAATCTGTTACTATCAGTATTATTATCATTATCATCCTAGACTGCGGATCTAAAGTTAGTGTGTTCAATTCCGAGCAGAGCCGGACTTTTTTTTTTTTTTGCCTTTAAAAATGACCTTTGCTTCCACGTCCAACCAGTCTCTAGAAGATATCAGGCAAAGTCTTGGGAAGTGATTGGATATCTCCCATTGAATGCCGATCAGTCTATACAGTGTAGGTCCAGCACAGTGGTTCTCAACCTTCCTAATGCCGCGACTCCTTAATACAGTTCCACATTTGTGTGAAAATTGTATTTGTTGTTACTGCATAGCTTGAGTGAATGTGTGTTTTGTAATGGTTTTATGCGACACTTCTGAAAGGGTGGTTCGACCCTAAAAGGAGTTGCGACCCACAGGTTGAGAACATGTGTGGGGAAGTGTCCTTATACAATTATGATTTCAGCAACTATCAGTCATCATCATCATCCTAATTATTAGTGTCAGACAACAGTTACAGCTGCCATAGCCATTACCATAACAATGGTGATGATGATGGTGCTAGTTTTAATCAAACAGATCATACTAACTATTGCATATACCAATAGCATCCTTCTCATTCTCAAAAGCTTCCCGACCATTAGGCTTCATACAATAATTAAAATTCAGCAGTATCAAAAACCCAGCTTTATTATAACCAGCATGTTCTATGTCAACAAGCGTTTGCTATAATCTCACACGATCACCAAAATCACGATTCAGGTCAATGTTCTTGTCTAGCTCAATAAGAATAAACTTCACAGGGGAGCATGTACAGCAGGGGTCTACCAATCATCAGTAGAAGTAACCTCTCGTCGACAAATGTTTCGGCCCACGAGCTCCTAGACATTTTCAGAGAGTGGGCCCACCTGAGTTCATGAAGCTCAGGGTTGGTTTCCCCTGCTGCACCAATTACCGGATGTTATTCGGACAGGGACAAGCCGAATTGGTGATTTTGCAGAAGGTACTGTGAGATAAGAAGTTGTCGCGGTAGCATAATTAAAGCTGTCTGCATACCTGGACGACCGAGCTGCAAGCATACGATTGGTTTACCGGACACATGTTGGACTTTGTTAGCAGGTGGCAGAGGGACACTGGCAGACGATTCGGACACGATGGACTTTGAGGTATTAGAAATTCTTTTCCGCTAGACACCCGGACCAGCTCACCTAGGCCCGTCCCCTACGTTGTTTCGTTGTGTCCAGAGTTAGCTCGAGGCCCTCTCAGCAACCTCGCCCAGCTTTTTAAGTGTCCGTTTGCGTTCATTACCGCGCAATCCTAGTTCTTTAATCACATTGTAGAGTGAAATAGCAACGAGACCTTTTGCGCAAAGACTCTTACTGTGTACACTTCGTCTCTTCTCAGACCGGCTGCTAAGTCACAGTACTTCTCCCGCTTGTACATATGGCTTTCGTCCATTCGCGACTCATACGGGACGGTCAGCTCAATTAGGATAAGCTGCCGTTTCTCCGCAGAGTGGAGAACTATGTCAGGTCGCAGGCCGGTCTTCCGGATTAACTCGCGGTACCTTTCATGGCCAGGCAGGTCAACCGCCAGTAACCAGTCCCTCGCAGAGTCTAGCATAGATGGAGCATATGCGTCTTTGTTGATTCTACCTTTGTGAATCTGCCCAGCCTTGAGGAAGCGTATGGGGACGATGCTATCCTAGCCTGGTCAACAACTGCTGCCAGCTCTTTTAGCACCTTGTTGTGGCGCCAGGTATATCTGCCTTGACCTAGGGCTTTTCTGCATGCGGACAGTACGTGTTCTAACGACTGCTTCGCTTTGCACAGCGGGTCTGTCGGGTCGTTAGCCGCAGACCACTTCGCCATGTTGACACCGGACGGTAATACATCGTACGCAGAACGAACGATAAAGCTCAGTCGCAGCGGGGTAATTCGCCAGATCTCACCCCATGTGAGTACTCTTGGCAATGCGCTTTCCATGCTGACCCAATGGCTCTGCTGCGACTGTTGGGCTGCTTTCTGGACCATAACCTCGCTTTCGTTATCCCTAATCTGCTGTATCACCATGTCTTGGCGCTCTTTGGCTGTGGCGTTGGACCACCAACTGACCTTCCCGTGACCTAGGCCTCGACGGTCGGTTTGAGTGTATCCCATAATCTCACGCAATTTTAGTGCATTCTGAACAGATTTAATCGCATCTAGGACCTTCCACTTCTGACCAGTCATTAGATTGGCCTGGACAACGATGACATTTGCGTCTGAAGACTCGCGCAAGAGCACGGCGAGTCTTACTTTGCCGACTTTAAACTCTTCAGTTATTGATTTGAATGGGAGTACCAGCTTAGCCTGCTTACAATATAGAGCCACGTCAGTCAGACAAGGCGGTGTACCAATCCACTTCCTTACGGATGTGTTGATTTTCCTCTCCATCGCCTCCACTGCAGTCATCGTCACTTCGTAGACTAACAGCGGCCAGAGGAGCTTTGGAATCAACATGAATTGGAGACACCAGACCTTGAACTTCCCAATCAGCCTGCTTCGCTCGATCGCGAGCAGGCCTGTAGCCAATGACTCGTGTATTCGCCGGACCTTCGCTCTATCAGATAACTTCGAATCGTAAACGCGACCAAGGCTCTTCACCGGTTCCTCTAGAACCGTGGGGATTTTATTCCTTGCCACCGTAAAACTTGTTGCCGCAACCTTACCTTTTAGGATTGACAGACTCCTCGACTTCTGCGGTTTGAATTGCATACCGCTCCATTGGACCACAGCGTCCAATCTTTTCAGAATCGTGCGGGTAGATTCCTCGCTGCCCGTGGTTATAGTCGTGTCATCCATAAATGCACGTAGTGGCGGCATCCAGTGATCCCCAATTGGAAGGCCTTGTCCGTAGCCGGCCGCCCCGTCTAACATGATCTGCATGGCCATGGCAAACAGTATTGATGAGATCGTACAGTCCATAGCTATCCCAACTTGTAGCTCAGTCCACCTCGTGGTAAACGTCGAGGTAGAGAAGCGCAAAGTGAACTTATAGAAATATTGCTCGATCATATCGTTGATCTGTGCCGGTACGTGAAACATGCGAAGGGACTTTCACCGTAGCCTATGGGGAACTGCCCCATAGGCGTTGGCGAGGTCCAACCATATAACATGCAATTCAGTTCTCTCATGCTTGGCCTTCTGGATAGACTCCCAAATAATATTCGCGTGTTCAAGGCACTCAGGGACGCCTGGGATACCACCCTTTTGAACACTCGTATCGATGTACTCGTTCGCCATCAGATACTGTGTGAACCGGCGAGCCATGACCGAGTAAAATATTTTACCCTCAACATTCAACAGCGATATAGGCCTGAATTGGGAAAGACTCTTCAAGTCCTGCTCTTTGGGAATGTAGACCCTGTTGGCCTTTTGCCACTCGTAAATATGTGTTTTCGGCTCCACGCTTCTTTCCATAACTCAATTTAGATAGTTAAGCTATTCAGCAATCTTTACACATATTTTCCTCCTTCTGCTTTTTTATTTTTTTATTTTGTTGGTCTCCATCGTTGTTGAAATTCGTTATCATGTTCTCGAGTCCTCAACCATATAACCAAATTGTGACCGGTACCATCAATATTGAAATTCCGCTCTGGCTGCTGAAGATGAGGACGGAGCACGCATGGGAATGCCCCTAGTGCTGTGATGTCAATTTTTTTACTCAACTCGAGTGCTCATAATATTCCCGCAACGTTTGCGTGAGCAACCAGTCGTTACATCAACAGAACAGAATGGGAATTGTTAACCTACACTATAGAGACATACCCAGGAGGAGATAGGAGCACTTATAGCCATATCTGATCTGCGATTAAGATGATCTTTAAACGAACCGTTAACAATGCCTTTAAAACACCGACAGCTATTCTAATCGACTTAGGGATTTTATCTGTCTTGATGAGAACTGCCTTGTTTCTTTTCCTGTAATTCCATGCAATTCTTCTCAAAAAAAAAAAAAAAAGGCTCCCTGCGAGTTAATGTTTTCCCAACATTTCTCTGCCTCTATTCCAGGTTCCACATGCAAATGACACAACACATGTGGTAACTGTTACAGACTCTGAGGGCGTGCTGAGAAGGGTGAAGACAGGGATGCATCGAGCAAAGTGGCAAGCTTCACTTGAAAGGTCAGGGTAGGGAGCACACTTTTGATCTTTTCTGAAAGCAATGCCGGCGTGGTGGGTAATGAACAGACAGACCGATTAGCTGAATCTGCACCACTGTGAGGTGAATTCATACATTACAATGCAGATGTGGTCAATACCCTTTTGGGAACAAGCAACGAAATCAATACAGTAAAAAAATTATTATGGCCTGGAGAGAATGAGGCACTTGGTTGTACCCAGAGGGTCTGGCCAGCTCACTTCACTCAGAGGAAAGACAAGACGGACATATAACCAGATTGTGACCGGTACCATCAGTATTGGAATACTGCGCTGGTTGCTGAAGATTAGGACGTAGCATGCATGGAAATGCCCTGAGTGCTGTAATGTCAATTTTTAACTCAACTCAACGGGGTTTCACACAATCTATATAGAACTGAAACAAATTTTCTCACTGCAAGTGACATATTTTTATTGGTATCTTTTGCATCTTAGTAACGGCAACTTTTGCCGAGAATATTCTTCTAATATCTCTGTTAGGCATCTTGCTTCAGTTGTCATGGCTGTTCTAAGATAGTTTTATTGATCCACATTTGCTTTCATAAAAAACTCATTTTTGTCACACTAATAACTAACTTTCAAACATCATTAACCCACATTCAACACCGACAATAACCCACATCCAATGTGATCTTGCTAGTAACGGTTTTAAAGTTTCAAGTCATGCATTATAAAGGATCTAGAGTTTCAAGTCTAGCATAATAAAGGATTTAGAGTTTCAGTCGTGTATCGAACTTCGTGGCAGCAGTTTTCCCAGAATATTCTGACTGGTTTGAGCTCAAACAACGGTAAACTACTGAATGTAAAATTGCCTAGTAAATTGTAAACAGCCAAACAATTGCTGTGGTTGGTTCTGCAACGTCCTGTAAAGCAGTGTTCCTCAAACTGTCTACATCCTGGGCCTACCTAAACAGTAGAGGCTGTTTCGTGGCCCATCTGACAGCTAACCAAGCGAGAAACAAAAACAACATAAGTTAGAAGTTTATTTCTTAATCCTATGTCACACAATTACAATTTCTGGCTAATCCAATATCTACCGCTGCTTAGTAAAAAAGTAAGTAAGTAAAGATCCCCGCTCACGCTTTTAGGCGCATCTGTCATATGAGAAGAGCGCCCATATTGTACAGGTCCATTGGCACTAGGTATGTAATTTGGCCGGCATTACGCCGATGGTTTTTACTTTCCACGAGATACATTCTGGTACCTGGTCGACCTGCGACGCTCCAACCATGATACAAATCTACGAAGCCATTAGTTGGTTTCTATCGCCGTACGTTGGAATTTCGAGTCGCCCTCGCAACGCCTAAACCACAGACGCCGTGCTGCTTAGGAAAGAAAAAGTAAAGTACCCTTTTCCACGCCTTTAGGCGTATTGGGCATATAGGGCTGGACCTCTATGTTATAGACCATTAGGCACTCGGTGGTTGATATGGTCAGCATCATGGGCGACCTTTACTACCCACAAATGAACCTGGTACATATTCAAGGCTGGGTCGACCTGGGAGCCAAAGTTATTTTTGAAAATATTCCGTCTCCGCCATGACCCGAACCCACGACCTTCCGATCAGCAGGCGAACGATCTGCTGTTTAGTGATTTAACAAAACAAAAAAAAAATGCTATTCTTTTTCTTCTTTCGTTCGCTTAAAAAAAAATATATGTCTGCAACGTTGTCTCTAGTATGAACTTCATTGTCTTTTGTGACCCGTACAGCGTAACAGTTTGACTTGAACCGAGGTTTCTCTTAGCCATAGGTTTTGCCTTGATATGTTGTATTTGGGACAGTCTTGGGGAACATAATCTGTTGTTTCAGGTGCCAATTTACATTCGCCGATTTTAAATTGTGTGTACATGTTGCTGCGAAGTCGATTTTGTCCTGTTCTAAGGCGTAGAATAATCACTTGCTCTAGTGTATCCATTAAATGGTAATCGTCTTGTGCCGGTTTCGGTGGCTTTCTGATTAATTTGATTATTCTTTTATTTTGCTGATAAGAGATTCGTACATTAGGTTGTTCGTTACTTTCACCTTCCTTAGCTAGTTTATTAGCTCTTTTATTTCCGTAAACTCCACAGTGGGATGGTATCCATTGCATGGTTACCGTGGACCGACTGCTTAATCTGGAGAATATTGTTGGTATACCAAGTAGTTTTCCAGATTGAATTTACTGAAGCACCGCTCTTGCATCTGTCAGAAATACCACGGGTTGTGAAATATAACGTATATTTTACAGTTTTTCTGCTGCTTTTTTTTGACGGCTTGAACTTCTGCATGAAAATGATATGTAAGCTGGAGCCTTAATTCTGATTTTCAGATCGCTACAGTAACATTCATTCGATTTTGTTTGTTTGTTCGGTTTTGATTATTTACCTAACTTTGAAAGTCTTTTCATAAAAACAGAAAGTCCTTGACTTGTTAGTCTTATAAACTAAAAGAGAGCAGTCACCTACCCTATATCGTTAATATTTAAGCAGACTGTTTTGGTTTCCAAGCAGTGATCTGCGACCCGCGGCTTGAAGAGCACCGCTGTAAATGGCTTTGATCTCTCATGGCGATCCTTTCTGAAATGTGTGCTAGGAATTGTTCCGGGAAGTAAAGGCTGTCGACGTGATACTGACTTCTTATGTATTACCGTAGACACAGATGGTAGACCTCACAAAGATAAATAAACAGAAAGTACAAGACATCTAATCTCATCCAATTTTGATCCTCCTGTATCTTGCGGTGTTCAAGTCAAGTATAATTTACCAGAAAGCACCAGTTTATGTGCTTTGTATATTTGACTTTCCATGGACTCTTTAAATCCATCGGCCCCTCGCTAGAATAGATACACAAGACTAAGAGGACCAACATCTACTTATTGAACCAAACTTAAAATATTTTGGTTTTCTTTTTATATATCTTTTCCTGCGGATATTAGACATAATGTTGTTGTCTGCCATTAAAAATGTTTATTCATCCATGAACTGTAATAATTCTTTTTAATAACTACCCAGTGATAATATTTTTATTAACCGGTGCCTCTGCAGAATGCAGGGAATTAAATGGTGTTGTAGAATTACTAATGTTGAGCTTTGTGAGAGAACTAGACAAGTTCCAGTGGCTTAAGAGGTGAAGAAAAGACGCTGGGGTAGAATATGACACAGGTTGAGAAAATATGAGAACGATATAACTAGAACGTCTCTGCACTTGAACTCACAGGGGCATTGCAACAAAGGTCGAACCCAAAACACACGGGAAATTGGGCTGAATAGTAAAGTTAAAATCATAGGAAGGGCATGAGTTGAACTGCATGCATTAGCGAAGGATACAATAAATTTGCATGAGCGGATTAAGGCCCTATGCTCCATTGGACAGAAAACAGAAGAGGAAAAGAGTGTTCACATTTTTAGAAAACTGAAAATAAGTTACAACTTCCTCACCTGTTAAAATGGGTACATCAGACGACTGGATAAGCAGATAATATTGCTAGTGTGCTATTTACCTGTGTATAATGTATCAAAAATATCTGGACTGACTAGATTTCAACTCACCTTCTGCACACACAGCGGGTCTTCAGCGCGTTGGGCCAGAGCCACACAGACACAGATAGCCATCTGTGGAGATATATTAGATAAAATACTTTTTCTATGTATCCTATGCAGAACCAGTTTCCGCATGCGACTGCGAATTTTAAAATTCAGAAACGTTTTCGAGACTTCAGATGTGTGATTATTCTACAGAAGAATGTCTAAAATGCCAAAGTTAGTAATCTAGATATTTTGAAAGACGCTTAATTAAACAAGAAGATATCATGATTGTTAAATATCCGAAAGATGCAAACGTTAGTGTTTTGGCATTATGAGAATCGAAAAAGCGTAACTAGTAAAAACTGAAAAATCAAGCATCTTTGCAGAGGTCGGTCTCTGACTGTTTTCCCGAAACTGTTTCCTCAATAATTTTAAGGGTCCCAAAACGTTAACCCCCCCCCCCCCCCCACAGCCTCAGCCTACGTCCTACGAGAAAGTACAGCCTACGTCCGACGAAATAGTGCAGCCTATGTCCTACAGCTACATGTAGTTAAAAATATACACTGTATACAGTCATGCGACCTATGCTACATGCAGTAGGGGGATGTAGGCAGAGGCTGTGGTGTAGGGGGGTTTGCGGTTTTGATCGAGCGACTTAAGAACTTAAAAAAATTCGATCAAGAACCGCGGGAACCACCGCGGTGTTGTCGCTGGACGCTCGCCTGCAGATCGAAACGTATTTTAAAACTGACATCCCTTCTCTCCCCCACCCCCCCCCCCAACCCCATTAAAAAAAAACGAATTCTCGATTGCACAGCAGATAAACGCCTGGGTGCCGATTCAAACACATCTCCAGGATTTAAAACTAAAGTAAGTTGCGTATTCTTTAAAAGACGTTGTTGAACTAACCCTAGAATGTTTTTGCTGGTTTTTTCTTTCTTCTAGGAACATGTTATGTTCAGTTAGTAGTTTGCCGTTGCTCTCTGAATGGTCAGGTCCCGATAACACTGTCAAAACCAATCTCCAGGTGGCCGCAGCTAAAATTGGATATTAGGAAACGTTTTGGGGAAGTAACGGTGACTAGCGTTATGTTGACCACACAACTAATCGAATGACATAGGGTGTTTACAAATATATTTCTAGCACCATTTGCCCGAAAAGCGATTGGCGTGACAAGGCTCCTTCATAACAAAACATACCGACGGCGGTGAAAAATAATGCCAATAAAGTCAAAACAACACTACGCAAATGAAACAAAAAACACTTACCAATAACACTTTCATCTTTGCTGTATCAAAGCCTTGTTCAGCTGATAGAGCGTTTGTAATGTGGGCTTTTTATATACGGTCAGAGAACAGCAATGTGTTGTTGTAGCGACAGTAAACTATAATTTACCTGCCCCCTTTTATAGTCAACATGTCGAGGAGACGAATGTCGAGGTCACGTAAACCTCTTGGTTTTTTTCAACAAAACAAGTGAGCAGCAAAGAATTCCCTTCGAAATTAAGTAGAGGGGCAGAATATCATTATGCACCTGAAGGCGTCCACACCTACACACAGCTTACAAACGTGATACAAGATAAATCTCAAGCTATACGAAGAGTAAGTGTGACAGCCTTTACAACTGCAGGCTAGGTATATGTGTCATGCCCTTAAAACTCGAGCGGTTTATCCGAGTCAGCGTTTTTCCACTTTATTTTTTAAGTTAATCAGGAATTTGCTAATTATAATTTTATTTTCTAGTGTTTACACAAACTAGAGCTTCACAACAATGGATTAGTTGGCGTTTTGTTTACTTTCCCACAGGCCAGATTTTATGAGGTCACCAAAAATTTACAAACCACGTCGCCGGAGACATTTGGTTAATTGAGTGTTTGTTGACTAAGTTGTTTGTACCATCACACATTCAGTCTGCAAATTCGCCGTGGTATAGTGGCTAAATAGCTCGCCTGTGCATCGGAAGGTCGTGGCTTCATGTCCTGACAGAGCTATTCTTTTTTTTTTTTTTACAAAAATGATCTTGGCTTCCAGATCGACACAGCCTTCAGTGGATACCAGGTGCGGTCTTGGAAAGTAAAGGCGGCCGGTGTGATGCTGATCATAACACCTACCAAGTGCCGACTGCGATTAGTCTGTAAAATATAGGTCGAACCCTATATGCTAAATACATCTGAAGTGGAAAAGGGTCCTTTACTCACTTTTTTTTCTCTTTTTTATTTAGTCTGTAAAGTAGAATTATAAAATAAGAAAAGTAACTGACCGATTTCGCATTACTGGCTCACTGGGTATAGTCTTATCTACTTAGTTTTTAGACAGCACCGTGGGGTCTTACCTTGCCTACTTTAAACTCTCCAGTTATTGACTAGAAAGGAAGTACCGGCTTAGCCTGTGTACAATACAGAGCCACGTCAGACAAGGCGGTGCTCCGAACCATTTCCCCATGGATGTGTTTGTCTTGTATCTATTGTTTCTACTGGAGTCATGCTGACCTCAAACATAGACATTACCTAAAGCCCATCTACGCACAATCACCACCTGCGAGATGAGATGCATGAGAAAAGCCGCCAACTTAACTATCAGTGATCGGGTGAATAATAATACCATCAGACAAATTGTGAGAACAATCTCTTGTACTGATTCATGGAGAAACCGCAGGCCAAGTGGTTTGGCCATCTCGCTATAACGCAGCAAGATCAATTACCGTCAAGGGCACTACCTCTCAGAATATCAGCTAAAAGAACAAGTGGCCGCGAAAAAATGGGCCTTCTTGTCATGACAATGGCCAGTGGCAGCCAGCGTATACTGGATTGCAAATTGTTTCTCCCCATTGCGCTTAACGACAGAAGTGATATGCGATGATGATGATGATGATAATGATGATGATGAGCAGATCTCCGGACAGAGTGAAGGAACGCAAAACGTTATGTAATTATCATTTGAACGATAGTGCGTTGTGTAGTAAAAAACATAATTAAATAAGTTTTCTTCTTCTTCTTCTTCCCCTTTTTCTCCTTCTTCTTCTTCTTCTTCTTCTTCTTCTTCTTCTTCTTTTTCTTCTTCTTCTTCTTCTTCTTCTTCTTCTTCTTCTTCTAGTCCATGCTGTGTGGCGTTGATATTCATATCTACTCAAAATCTTCAGTCCCTTCTATCTTCAACCAGTTCCAACAAAGTTGATCTTTCATGCCACGATGTCAAACAGTCCACCATCTTTTCTGTCAGTCTCCCTCTGCAACTTTTCCTCTTTAAATTTTTATTTTTATTTTCTTACTAAACAAAACGTATTACACATAGATTAGTCGCCTTCTAAATTTTAATGACAAAATACACGGTATTGCTTCCTACGCCCCTGCTATTTGTAATAAGTGACCCCGGTCACGGATGTGGTTACAAAAAATGCAAGCAATGATCGTAAGCATAATAATCTGTTCACAGCCATCTGTGGCTTAGACGTTGCGACTCGAAATTCCAACGTACCGTAATTGAAACCCACTGTTGATTTTTATCATGGTATGAGGAGTCGCAGGTCGAACCAGCCTAAAATGTATACTAGGATGTATTCCTAGGGAAGTAAAGACGGTCGGCGTAATGCTGACCACATTACCCACCTGGTGCCAGTTGGTCTGTAAAAATATGGGACTTTTCCCATTTGCCCGATGCGCTCAAAGGCGTGAAAAGGGATCTTTGTTTCATCATCATCATGTAGAAGGTCCTTTGCAGAACGTCGCTCTCATCACGGTCTGCGTGAAAGAAACTCTGTCTCTAGCCAGCTCACCGGCCTCACGTACTTTCATCCTCAAGGAGTCACTTATTACCTGTGCCCATCTTCGTGTTAGTCGGCCCCTGCCCCTCCTTCTCCTATTATTTGTTTTCCAATCCGTCGTGGCGCTTGATAACACCAAAATATTTCAGCTTCCGGGACACGATGCTTTTTATTAGCCAATCTTCTTCGATGTTCAGATCTTTCAAGATGTCAGTATTTCATCTCTTCTTTGTCCAAGTTATTCTGAGAATCTTTCTATGGCATTTCAGCTCAAAGGCCCTTATTCTATTTCTTAAAGACTGAGAGATAGTTAACGACTCACATCCGTATGTGGCTACAGGGAAAATCCATGCTCTCAGAAGTCTAATTTTGATCTCCTTGCTGGTGCTTAACCCTAGACTTCTAATGCTGTTTAATATTTGCATTGCTATGGCAGTCCTCATTTTAATTTCTGTCAAACAGCTCCATTGCTATTCATTATAGAGCCTAGATATTTAAAGTTTGGGACATTTTCGATTTCTTAACCATTTATTGTTATTTTTGGGTGACATCCATTTTTACATATGACCATTTTTTTCGTTTTCTCTAAATTCAAGAACAAATTTTGATCTTCACTGTGCTTTTAGACAGACAATATTAAATTTTCTATTCCCTTTACGCTGTCCGAAAGGAGGACTGTGTCATCTGCGTAGAAAAGTTCCAGAATAGCGTTGCCACCAAATTTGAGAGGATCGTAACTGTCACATGTCTGGTCATTTGTGACATTTCTCATCATATTTTCTGTGTATATATTGAATAGGTATGGTGAGAAATGGCACCCTTTCCTCGCTCCCTTTTGCACCTCGAACCAATCAGATGTTTCACCAGCTGCTTTGATGGTTGCTTGTTATTCATGATAAAGATTTTCAATTAAATGCATCAAATGCGCTGATAGCCCCATAGGTCTCATTTTAGTCCACAGTTTCTGATCTTGGACACAATCAAATGCCTTGCTTCAATGAAATAAACATGAAGGTCTACGTTGTATTCTCCAATTTTTTTTTAAAATCATTCTCATATTAAAGATGTGATCCCTAGTTCCTCTATCCTGTCTGAAATCAGCTTGTGCTTCATATAGCTCATATTGTAACTTCCTTTCAATCCTCTTCATGATAATTCGTAAGATTATTTTGCTTGCATGATGCTACGGTAGTTGGAGCATAGTTTCAGATTTCCTTTCTTTGAGAGAGGGATATAGACTGTTCTTTTCCACGCTTTATGCGAAATACTACTGTTCCAGATCTTCGTACACAGTGCATTGTAAATTCGGACGCTGGCCTCTCCTCCTGCTTGAATTAGTTCTGCTGGTATTTCATCGCATCCTGGAGACTTTTCTTTCTTCAGGCTGTATATTGCTGATCTGCCACATCCGGTTCTTTTTCATAACTTTTATGTTGTTTTTGAATTACTTGTTAGATCCTGATACATTTCTCTGCAGTAGGCTTTCCATCTTTCTAATATGTCTTTGGTTTCCAATTAATGTGTTACCGTTTTTACTTACTTTTACTCATATTTCAGAAACGCTAATTCGGCTATTCTCATTGTTGTTTTTTTAACATTGGTCATTTAGAAGTACAGTAGTAAGCTTTACTTTCAGCTGTTTAAAAAAAACGTGCCATAAACCACTAACCATATTTTAACTAATATAAAGACACACTTATATGTTGCGTGTTCTAGAGTCAGCAAACCAGAATATTTCTACATCTATGCAAATTATGATTCTGATATTATCCATATGAGACACGTGCGATTTCTATTTTATCTTTACCTTTGTGCCAGACCGAGCCCCAGCAACGCGTGGTAGGGGCGGCTTGTCAAAAATATAGGTAAAACACAGTATGCCCAATGCGTCAGTGGGATAAGAAAGGTCCGTTCCTGAATTTTCTATACCTTATAGTTCCCGTGATGTTCACGGGGCCATATCTAGTGTGTGTGTGTGTGTGTGTGTGTGTGTGTGTGTGTGTGTGTGTGTATGTGTGTATGTTGGGAGGAGGGAATTGGAGAAGGGGAGAATAGGCTTATACTGCCCCCCCCCCCTTTCCAACACGCATGTTGTAATAGTCAACAAATTAGAGATTTTTCCTTTGAAGTCGGAGGGCATCTGTTTAAGAGGCAGGGAACCAACAGTCTGAATACAAATAAGCCATATCTAGAACAAAAGTGCAGTCCAGACGTGGGAGAACAACCAGTACTTTCCGCAGGCGTTTACAGCTGACAAACAACGAAGAGCAAGAAACCGTTTATGGTTGTAATTGGTGTTTGGAAAATATTAGAATAATCAAATTACTTATTGCCATCAAAGTTCAAAGAATACAATTTGAGAGAGGGAAAATTAAAGAAGAAAGAATGAAAAAAAAAAGAAAAAAAGACTGAGATAGAATAAAAACAGAATGTAAAGTAACAAAACAAAAAAAAAAACTTTTTCTAAACACTTTGTTAGCCATGATCTTTATTTAACAGGTGCTGTGTAGAATGTTTCTCTGAG